TGGAGGAAATATCTGCAGGTCGACAAGACTGCAGATTGGTTGGAGTTTAGCAGTCTGTGGAGCGTTCTACTCGCAGCTTCAATCTGAGCCTGAAGACCAACAGAAAGAAAGACACGGTTGCACTTGTCAGGTAGCAGAACAGAGCCTTGATGGGATGGGCTGAAACACAGCTTCTCAGACCAGGGCTGAAGAAAGTAATATATTTCCCCAGCTTATGTGTAAGGAGGATGCGTGAGGAAAATTCACAAGGTTAAGAAGATGAAAATTGCCAGGATTTTGCACTGATGAAGCTGGTTTAAGTATTTGAATAGAGGAATGCTAAATGTAAATAAAAGTAGGATTGTAATACTCTGACAGCACTGGGACATGTGCCAATGGCAGATACCAAGGCAATAGATGGTCAGGAAATACGACACATGGATCCACTTGATTACTTGATAGATGCTTTTTAAAGCCTCTTGTCTGCCTCCATCCAAAGTTATTTCCGATGCGGTTTCCCAAAAGAAGGAATCTCTGGCAAAGATAAACAAGACTGAGTTGCCTTCCTCTGCAGGCTAAAACAAAGATCACAAAATATAGCGCAAGTGGAGAAAAAAACACAGAAGAGGAAATGCCAGTCATTTTCCTGACTAATAAATGCTCGGAGGAGAAATCCAAGGTTCATGGAAGGACCTGTGTCTCTATGGAGTCTGTACATTTCTTCTCCCTGCAATTCTCTGAACTCCATAACACTGACAGTTCTATTTTGCCAATTATGCAACTTCTTAATGCTTTTGTTGCTTTTATGACATGTGTCAGCTGAGTGTGCAATCAAACCAAACACAACTACAATAATAAAATAACCCACATTAACTAATTATCTTAATAACAACTCTGTTAAGAGTGAGACATCTGATAGGAGAGATAGAAGCAATAATAAAAGAGAACTTTCAACTGCATGAACAGACTTGCACGTCCCAGTGTGATGCTCCAGGGATATTAACTCTTAGAGTCCTGGGAGAGAAGTCTTGCGATGAACGAGAGGGTGATCTTTTCTAGAGACTCTTAAGGAATTCAAACCACAGGGATTAAAACTAGGGAAAAGTTCTGGGCTGGGAATGAGATAGGCAAGACATGCCTAAGAGATATTTCCTCTGTTGTCTGTGAGCTGCCCTCTGCTGCAGTATGTTATTGAGCACGTGGGCTGCTGGGGATGAGCTGTACCAGAAAATAAACACTAGATTTATGGAGCAGACTATGTTGTGAGCTCAGACTGAATACATGTGAGGCACGAAGGGTCATCCCAGGAGATCTTCCCTGCCCTTCACCAGGCCTGCTGATGCCAGAGTACAGGAATACTGACATCCATACTGCTTGCAACAGCACTAGTCTTCCAAAACTGGGGGAAAAACACACTGATGTAACACCAACCACCACATCCTTCAGACCCAGTATGTGAGCTGAATAAAGGCAGAGACACTCAGTGTCTCGTTTATCCTAGGAATCCTTCAACAGTCTTTCAGGACTATCCCCAAGGGCAAGGGTAACTTTATCCTATGCACACAGACAGCACAATGTGTTCCACACTTTTTGGAGCTTGAAATCATCCCCCAGTGGCTGAAAAGTGACCAGACTGATGAAACAACTGAGCTGTGCTTGTCAGGATGAGAGATTAGAGAAACATTAAAGTCTATGATTTTTCTTTTGGAATATATGACCCAAAACTTATTTCTGCACATGCGAACTAAAATAAAAACATGTCAAGGCAAATTTTCTTCCTGTGACCACTCTTCTTCATGGTGGTACCTGCATTGCTTTAGGAGCCTGAAACTATCAGCAGGTTCACTTAGAAAAAAGGCATGTTAGTCAAATGGGCTGGGTGCCTGATCTACAGAACCAAATAGATCCAAAGGAACCACAACAGACCTGAGGGAGGATTCAGACCACCAGCTTGAAGGACCCTGCTTAGGTGCTCTCACTAAGTATTCCCCTCTACAGTCAACCAAAAGACATGATGTCTCCAAAGGTTGTCGTTATTCATGGGTGGGTTACTGCATTTTTTCAATGGCTGCAGAGGAAGACCAGGGCAGTAATTACAAAGGCTAACATTAGCCTGAGAAGGCTAGTCTCCACAGGTTTCCACTGCAGTCAGTGGAGGGTGAGAGGCAGCTTTGGCAGGAATTTCATAGCACGTAACAGCACAGCTCCTGCTCAGATTTGCCCTTCTCCCTAGACTGTTCAAAGAGGGAGGTAAAGGAGAACGACCTGGATCAAAATCTCTTTATGAATAGCTGCCTCAGATACTTATTTACATACACTATGTTAGCCCATAGGAATACCTCAAGCCCCAAATCCAACCCACAAGAGGCTGTGCTAGGCACAGCCAGTTATAATCACAACACTGGGAATAGCTGTTGTGAGTGGCTCTGCATATGCCGGTTTCCTTTAGACAGGTAAGTAACAGAGTGTACATAACGTGTCAAACTGCAACACACCTCCCTTGAGACTGGGTCAGGCTGATAGACAAGTGCTTCTGTCCCTTTCAGAGTCCCCTACTACTATGACCTACCCCGGGGCTGTGATTCTGCTTTCCCAGTGACCCTGTGCTGCAGAAGCTGGAGCTGGACCACTGGGGCTGATCCTTCAAGCCCCATTCCCCTGTCCCGTCCTTTGCAGCCCAGACCATGAGTATCTTTTTCCTAAGGGAGAAAGTTCCCTTCCCCACTAGTGGTGCAAGCTATGGAACCATCGTTGGAAGAATGTTTGCAAGGAACATACTCAAGTCCAACTGCACACATCCTTGTTTTATTATTTTTCCTAAAGTATCTCTAGGGCCTTCAGGTGGTGGTGTGGCTCGCCATCGTCCCATGAACCTGTACTCGGTACACACACGTGTACTCTGGATTTCCCCAGTTGCTCTGCACCTGGAATTTGATGTAACGAAAGGTCCCGGGAAGCTCCTTCTGTAAAAAAATGAGGGGACCCATCATTACACGGGTGGCCAGAGCCACAGCACATCACTGGGGCTGCTGACGAAAGGAGGAAGCAAGGGCAACCACATGTCCCCTTGCAAGGGCCATGGAGGAGCCCTCTGTGCTTGGAAAGCAAAGGCCCTGAAGCCTTGCTGAGCAGAGCATTGGGAACCGGAGGAGCACTGCTGACTGGGCAGCCGTGGGATGTGAGGAGGGTCTCACTGAAGGTAAGATGTCTGCCTCCCTCACTCCCACCATCTGCTCTAGTGGGACTGTTTCCCTTCCCGGTCCCCTTCCCACTGCTGCTTTCTCTGTGCTGCCTGAAGAAAAAGGAAAGCCCTTAAGGTGGGACAGCTGTCTCTGGCAGCAAAGCAAAGCCCCATTTGGTCTCCTCTTGCCATCCTCCCCACAGGAGCGAGGAGCATGGGAGAGCAGGGGCTGGCTGGGGTGATACTCTGCACTGTTTCCTCCAGGGACTTGCAGACAACCCTGCCTTTTTCCCAGGCATTCTGCCACAGCTTTTGCAGTACCTGCACATGGAACGTCTGAGCGATCCCCTTGTGCACGTCGTAGGTAAATGTTCCCAAGAGAGTTTCTGCCATTGCCTCATCCACTCCCTTGAAGACAAGAGACAAAAGAGACAAAGGGAGTGGGTCAGGCTCCAGCAGGGCACCAGGAAAAGGGCATGCTGAGGCTGAACCCAGGAACCCTTCCCCACCTCCCTGGGCTCCAGCAGTAGTCTAGCACAGCTTAGGGTGATTGTGGGTCAGGGTGCTTTGAGCACATGCTCCAGGATCTTTGGGCATGAAGCAGAGAAGAAGCTCCCAGAGGCACAGGACCCCCACATACCCATAGGGGATGGGGTGCTGAGAGGAGGTGCCACAAGAAGCACATCTCAGGTATGTCTTTTCTCTTGGGCCAGCCCCCCCTGAGAAGCACAAGGCAAAGACTTACAAAGACAGTAAACTCTCTGGGGGTGCTGCTGACTTCCCCAGAGGGAGACACTGCCTCGGAGATGTGCCAGACGGTGAAAGCTGTTGGCCAGATGTGCACAGGCAGCCGGATGACCACATGGCCCTGAGATCCGTGGAAAGGCCAGCAGTTGCCAGGGGTAACACTGGGCTGAAACCAGAAAGCCATGACCATCAGCAGTAAATGCTGTGCACTTGGTCTGCCAACCTGAAAGCAAAGAGCTGAACCACAGGTCAGGCCTTCCCTTGTCATACCTGCAAGATTGTCACTGGAGGGTTTGCAAATAAGAAGGTGAATAGAGAAAGCAGCCAGGTCATCATGCCTTCCCCACCGTAACTCTTGGATGTCCTCTCCTCATCGATGCTGGCACCTGACATGAAGGTGGACAGAAGTTGACTAAGACAGCGCAGAGATTAGGAGGAGCAGCAGTGCATTACCATGTATTTCTCAGGCTTGAAAGCAGAGCTTAGCAGAGCCCGGGGCAGTGCCAGAGCCCGGGGCAGTGCCATACATAGAAGGATGGCAGGGATACTTTCTGTCTACATACCTATGGCTTCCAGAGCCCAGTCAGGCATCAGGACATAGTTCTCAAGCACCTTCTTAATTGCCACCTCTGTCAACTGCAGAATTTCCTGGGGAAAAAGTGGGAACGGCAAGATGGCAGTGAACACAAAGGCACATGGGGCAGTTCTGCATGAACACCGAGTCCTGGCACAGAGCCGAGGAGCATCTCTGTGTCGGACAACCCTAGGCAAGAGCTGTCGAAAAAAGTGATGACTTTGAGAGTGCCGAGAGGAAGCAACAGGAGGGTGCCCAGAAAGGCAGCGAGGTCTGTGATCCAGCCCCAGCAGCTTTACCTCTATTTGCTCCTCTTGGACAGCATGGTCTTTGAGGACCTCTCTCACAATATTCAGTACTCTTCCCCTAGCAGCATACACCTGAGGCACCTTCTGCTTGAAGTCCTGATTCACCTGGGCCTGTGAATTGCTGGAAGCAAAGGAAAAGCAGGTCTTGACCAGCAGCTGCCAGCCCCTGTGGGCAGGCTCCAAACTCCATGCAGAGAAGAGTCCCATGGGCTTGGGTCACCCCACATCCCCCAGCCCCATTCCTTCCTCCGGCTTACAGATGGCTCCCTTCCACCACCCATAGGGAGGATCAAGATCCCTGGACACAAGGCAAGGGCAGGCAGCACGAGGCCGTCTGAGACAGCTCCACAGGGTGTGCCCCTTAGGAAGAAAGCACTCTTACCCCAGTAGTTCCTGCTCAGCTCCGTGAGGCCTGGACGTCTGCAAAATTAACATACCGCATAAGCGTGAGGATCACTGCCAGGGCTTCCCAAAGGAGACTACCCTAGGTAGAGCTGGAAGAACATCCTGCTGCTTTGAGTCACTTTGGAGAAACCCTGACCCAAAGGTTGGGTTCCCTAACCAGCCACGTTCAGCAGAGAAGCTTTTGGGTCTCCATCTGAACCCCACAGCCCTCCAAGAGGTATGCAAGCAGCAAAGGCACCTTCTGGCACAGTGCTCCCCTCTTCAGCCTGCCACCCTGTGGAGGTCACTGAGGAGGAGCCCCACTCTGAACCCCATCAAGCCACTGAGGAGACTGGAGGATGAGCACAGGTGCCTCCCCCCAACACCGCCCCAGTGGTGATGGGTATTTCTGGCCAGGCGCCCCATGTTCTCAGGGAAGGCAGGAGGGCAGAGCCATGGCCTTTGCAGATGCTGACTTCCCCACAGCAAGAGGCGCTTACCCACAACACATCCTTGAGCCACATCGTCGCACCGCACCAGTAGCCAAGAGCTGTGAGTCACATTGTCAAGAGATGATTATTTTCTTCAGGAGCTGGTCCCTCTTCCCAGGGCTGAGGGAACCATTTTTGGTCAGGGATACTCACTGAACAGGATGGGAAGCAGCCGGAAAAGGAGCCTCAGGCCCCCTCTGTCCTTCTGGCAGGTGTTAAGTTGTCTAAAAGAGAGGGAGCGCTGTTGTTGCCAAAGCCCAGGGTTGGAACACCTATTTGCCAGGGATCCATTTAGGAGCTCGCTGGGCTACCACATTCCATGTGTGCCCAGCACAGCTGCAAGCCTGAGGGCCCAAGACCTGCAGGTCGTTGAGAAGGTCTGGGACACAAAGACCTCTGGGCCTGACACAGGGACAACAGCCTGGCCCTGCTTGGCTCTCCCCAGAGAAGGGTCAGGGCTGTGTCCCCGGAATGGGGTTGCTGTGCTGCAGGGCAGCGGGGCAGACAGACCCCATGCTCTGGGGCTGCTGCTGCTGCTGCCGGGAAGCCAGGCAGCACACAAGGCTTGTGGCACGATCCCTCCCTGCTCTCTGGGCCCCCTTGCTCCCAGCTGCCCAACCTGGCTGGCATCTCTGCAGACTGAGCACACTGTCCGGGCACTGGGAAAAGCCCTCTCTCCTCACGAGATCCCAGCACCTCTTCGCTATGCGTTGCTAGCTGCTGAAAGCGCTGCTTCTCACTGTCCCCACTGCCGCGTGGGGCGCTTTTCTAAGGGGCAGCTTTATGATCTCACAAGAGAGAACTGCTGGTGCCCATGGCAACCTCAGGGGCACTGCCCTGGACGCCTGGGAGGAACACACCCTGGGGGCAATTGGGAGTAACTGAGAACCCTGAGAGTAAGACAGAACCCTGCTGGGGCTACCTTGGAACCCCTTAGGGCAACCCAGAACAATTCTGGGAACCACTGGGAACCCTCAAAGGCAACCGAGAACCCTTCTGGGGCAACCGAGGGCTTTTCAGAAATGGGAGTAACTGAGAACCCCAAAAGGCTACCAAAACCCCTTCTGGGAGTAACTGGGAACCCCTGAGCACAAAAAGAACTCTGCTGGGGGTTACTGGGAACCTCAAGTGCAACCCCATGCCCATCAGGGGAACAGGCAGTAACTGAGAACCCCTCAAGAACCTGTAGTTATCCCTGGACTACTACAGTAATTGGGGTAACTGGGACGTCCGAAAGGCAACTGAGAACCCTTCTAGGGGTAACTGGGAGTAACTGGGAACTCCCATTCTCAGGAGAGCCTGGTCTGGGACAGTACATGAACTACATCAAAGAGAGCCCTTCTCAGCTGCTTCATGAGGGCATTATCGCTGTAGAGACTCTCATGGAATCTCTGTTTATCTGTGTTTCCATGGGAGGGTCACTTTGCATGTCAGATGAGGATATTCTTTTTAACTCCTGAAGCCATGAACTCCTGTTTTCCTTGCCCACACACCTGCCTCAGTCCGGAGTCTGGATAAGCCGGCTTTGCTGCCTGACTTTTTCCAGTGTGTTTGCACCTGTCTTACACAAGGAGGTGTTTATCTTGCATAGGAGGGCATACTGGTGACTGTAGTATCCACCTGGCAGCAGGAACTCCTTTCCAGTAGCTGAAACAACTCACTGGGAAGGAAAATGCCATAGCTGTACACCAGACTTGCCAGGAGCTCTTTCACTAGTGACTTCTGCATGGTCAAACCAAAGACCAAGGGACCCTGCTTTGTACCTGAGGCTGAAAGCACATTTACACATCACTTTGAGCAGCTGCTAAGCCAGACCAAGAAGTTCTTTCCTAGCCACACAATAAATATGTATTTTTAGCAGCCACAAAAATAGATTTCAACAAGGCAACTGAGAACCCTTCTGGGGCAACCGAGGGCTTTTCAGAACCCATGAGGGAAACCTGGAACCCTGCTATGAGGTCTCTATGCAGCCTTCTCTGCTGGCGGGCTCCAGCAGCAGGGCGGGACGGACGTGGCCGTGGACTTGAACCTGGCCGTCCCACTCCTCTTCACCACCCTGGCCCTCGTCCTCGCCTCCTTCTTCGTGAGGCCGCGGGGAGCAGAAGGGGAGCGGCCCCAGGAGCCGGCGGCCGCCGAAGCGGGCCGGGAGAGCGGCCCTGGGGACCAAGCGGCGGCAGGAGCGGGGCCGGAGGCCGGCAGGGAGCGGCTGCCGATGGACGAGGTCGGGGCGGCCGAGGAGTGGAAGGAGGCGGCTGCCGAGCAGCGGGAGAAGGCGGCGGAGGAACCGAGCCCCGCGGCTGAGCCCATCCCCACGACGGCCGAGAGCATTCCCCGGAAGCCGCCCGCCGAGCCCCAGGAGGATGCAGGAGACCAGGCAGCATTTCCCAGCAAGGCAGAGGAGGAAGAGCTGGACTCAGAAAAAGAGAAGCTGGCGGTGGGAGAGCCGGCAAGCACAGCAGCTACACCAGCCCCAGTGACAAGTACATCAGCATCAACTGAGAGTTCTGAAGGTTTTGAATGGCCTTTGGATATCCTTGGGACCTGCCTGCTGACTGTGATGGGGATCAGCATGTTGGCACACACGCATACTGTGTTTTACCCACCACCATTTTGTCTGATCTCAAAAGTTAAGCAGAGTCAGGTTTGGGTCTTGTCTGCGGTTAGATGACGATATAGGGGTACCAGGAGATTTTCCCCAAGGCTGGACAGTCATGAGTGGCAGGGTGTTTGGGACAGTACGGGCAAGTATCTAGTCCACTGGGCCCCTCCAGTGCTTTGGAAGCATCGGAGGTGCAAGGCAGCTGTGTGGAGTCCCCAGCGACAAGCTGCAGAAACTGCTGAAGAGAACAGTGAATTATTTTGAGCCTGGTGGGCCAATGGCACTTCAGGCCATCAGAGCAGAGATGCAACGCAGAGATGGACTCATGATCGAGGGGTGGACTTAGCAATGGACACTATTGCCCAGGTTATTCACGAGTGTGAACACTGCACACAGCCTCTCCTGTTCTGAAAGGCCGTTACAAGAGATGGAGCCTGACATCATGGACCAGATGGACTCAGCCAGCTTTACAGGGACTGGTCCATGCACTAAGATAAGAGTGCACTTAGATAAGAGTGATGGTATATTGAAAATGTGGGATCTGAGCATGATGTGAATGGGATGGAATAAGGAGTGGATACTGTCCTGGGTTCATCAGTAGCAGTCTTTTTTGTCTCTTTCTTAGTAGCTGAAGCAGTGCTGTGTTTTTGACTTTCGGCCTGGGAACAGTGCTGATAGCACCAATGTTTTTAGTTGCTGCTCAAATGTTTGGTCTGCCCAAGGACTTTCTGAGCCTCATGCTCTGCCAGGGAGGAGGGGAAGCTGGGAAGAAGCAGGGACAGGACACCTGACCCATAGCCAAAGAGGTATTCCATACCACAGCACGTCATGCCCAGGATGTAACTGAGAGTTACCCAGAAGGGCGAGGACTGCGGGGTTGGACTAGGCATCGGTCAGTGTTCGGTCGGGCTGGGGGGGGGGGGGGGAGTTATCAGTCGGCTGGTGCTGAGGTGTTGTGTTCTCTTCCCTTGTTATTTCCTTTTAGCATTATTATTACTGGTGGTAGCAGTAGTGATTTGTGTTATACCTTAGTTACTAAACTGTTCTTATCTCAGCCAGTGGGAGTTGCATTCTTTCCAGTTCTCCTCTCCATCCCTCTGGGAGTAGGGGGAGGACAAGAAGGGGGGGAAGTGAGTGAACGAGCTGCATGGCTGGGTTTAAACCATGACAACCTGAAAGAGGGAAAAGTAAACCAAAACCTGGCTCAGGAAAATCTGTGCTTCAAAGAATCATAGAATCATAGAATGGTTTGGGTTGGGTTGGAAAGGACCTTAAGATCATCTAGTACCAACCCCCTTGCCATGGGCAGGGACACCTCACACTAAACCATGTTACCCAAGGCTCTGTCCAACCTGGCCTTGAACACTGCCACGGATGGAGCATTCACAACTTCCTTGGGCAACCCATTCCAGTGCCTCACCACCCTCACAGTAAGAACTTCTGCCTCATATCTAACCTGAACTTCCCTTAAGTTTAAACCCATTACCCCTTGTCCTGTCACTACAGTCCCTAATGAAGAGTCCCTCCCCAGCATCCCTATAGGCCCCCTTCAGATACTGGAAAGCTGCTCAGGTCTCCACGCAGCCTTCTCTTCTCCAGCCCCAACTTTCTCAGCCTATCTTAATATGGGAGGTGCTCCAGTCCCCTGATCATCCTTGTGGCCCTCCTCTGGACCTGTTCCAACAGTTCCATGTCCTTTTTATGTCGAGGACACCAGAACTGCACACAATACTCCAGGTGAGGTCTCATGAGAGCAGGGTAGAGGGGCAGGATCACCTCCCTGGACCTGCTGGTCACACTCCTTTTGATGCAGCCCAGGATACATTTGGCTTTCTGGGCTGCAAGTGCACACTACTGAGTCATGTTGAGCTTCTCATCGAGCCCCAAGTCCTTCTCCACAGAATCCCTTATGTCCTCCAGGCTACTGCTATCTATATCCTTAGCACTCACATGTATCACTAGAAGTGGGTAACAGTCAGTGGGACTTACTAGAGCAGGCAGCCTCTCTGCAGCATCCCTGATCTGTGCCCCTGGGACACAACACACCTCCCTTGAGACTGGGTCAGGCTGACAGACTACTGCTTCTTTCCCTTTCAGAGTCCCCTACTACTATGACCTGACGCCTCTCCCTGGCAACACCAGTAGAGATCTTCTTTACCAGGGCATCAGCTGTCTGTTTCTGGTGCGAGTGCGTTTTCTCATCAGCCCCCGGCAGGACAGCAAAGCGGTTCTGGGTGAGGACAACAGATTTAGGAGGAAGCCCCTTACTTTTAATTGCCCTCTTCCTCCTTTTTTTGTTGTTTCGTTTTTTTTTGTTGTTGTTGTTCTTTGGGTGGGTTTTTTTTGTTGTTGTTACTATTTCCCAGATTCCTGGGTTAGTGGCCTCCTTTTTTCCGCCATGAGCTACCGTGGACACTTGAGGCCTCTGCACAGTTTGGGCCAGGAGCAAGCATTCCTGCTTCCTCTCAGCTTCCCTGACATCTTGCAGCCTATTAATAGCACCCCGCAGCTCAGCCCCTGCTGCCGAGGGCCTCCACCAGGGAGCACGGAGCGCAGCCCTGCCCATTGTGCACCCTCCCCTCACCAGACCCGTGCAGGCACTCTCTACACCCCGAGCTCTGCACTGCAGCCTCCCCTCTCATCGGTTCTGTCTGGGTGCCTACGCCGGCCACCGCCGGGGCAGCCAGAGTAGAGCTCCCGGACCGGGCCCTGGTCACAAGGCGAGCGCTCACCACGCCGCCCGCCCGCCCGCCCGCCCGCGCAAACTGCGCTGACCCGCCCTGTTTCCCCGCCCTCCTGGTCGCTCGCGCTCCCTGGGGCAGGTTTTAACCGGTCAGGGCTGGTGCCAATCCTCCTGGCTCCGCCCCCTGCGAGTCCCTGCTCGCTCTCGTCAGCTGAGCTGCCGGCTCCCGGGCAGGTCCTGTCGAGGACTTGAGGCTCCCTGGGGGGCTCTCGCTGCTCTGAGTTGAGGCTCCTGGGCGCTGAGCTTCGGCCCGCTCCGGTGTGGAAGGCGTCCTCTCTCGAGCTACTCACCTCAGCAACTGACCCACTGAACCACTGCTGAACTGGTACTGGCAGCAGCGTGAGGGACCACCCCGCATGCAAGACCTGAAGATCTTTTTTTCAAGAGGT